GTAAATATTCTGCTCAATTCGCTCAAGATATAATAAATCCATCTGTATTTTAACGCTTTATCCCCGTCCTTTGGTCATTTGAGCGACAATTATATCTTATTAATTAATAAAAAGTTAGAAATCAAATCTCTAGTTTTCTAGCGCCTACAAATCAAGATATAAAATTTGCTTTCACTACATGTAATGATAGAGCGAGCAATTCTTTATCAAATGAGATGTCACCAAGCTCTCTATGACGTTTCTTGGTCAAACCACATCAAATTAATGGAAAGATTTCCAGCAGCATTTTTTTATCAAATTGTTCTTCTTCCAATGATCACTGGCGTGACTAAATTGCTGTCACAAAAACTAGAGTGTGATGAATCAATCGATGCAGACTCTTGATCTATAGGAGACATAAATACTCTATTTCAATGGTTGTCTTATCGATAGTTCTGCTGTAATTGCTATATGAGATAAAAGGTTAATTAAAATCTCATTGAAATATGTTCCATTCGTCTACAAATAATTTTCTTTGTTAATTATTCTATATCATTATCTTGCACAAAGTATTCTTTACTAATATATTTTCTTTTGTAAACATCAACAATTGGCATTGGATTCAGATCAGTACAATATCAGGAACATTTATTAAAGATTTCACACAGTTGATATTCTTATCAAAATGTAACAACAGAATTTTTAGTAATTTATCAACATAATTTGAATATTTCAAATGTCTTCGCATCGCTTCGGTAAGACATTTGTATCTTTTTTTTCTTATTTCATAACTGTTTCTCTCAACAAATTCAAACTAAATTAAAGAACATGATTGTATTTTATAAAGGACGGGGGAAGTTTTCCTGGGATTTTGGCCCACTGTGAAAATAAAGATTGTTCCGAGTGAAACTTTCAGCAATTGTAGACACCATAGTTAGTAGTCACTCCTATAAATTTCAGCTTGATCAGTTAAACTTTTCCCCTACTTCGATACTCAACAAAATAGTACTCATATACAGGTTATGTCAAAATTATGTGTACCTTCGTTCTCCACTATTTCATTCAGGATCGAAGCCATTTTTTCAGTATCAATATCAATTATCAAGAGCTTCAAAACTACCAAGACAAGGTCTTGCAAAAAACCTGTCTTCTAAATAATGCCTAGGACATACCATCTCCAATAAGATCACATAGGTCTCATAGTGAATCTTGTGTCTTTTCGTTCTCCGCTATTTGCTTTAGAACCAAAGCCATTTTTTTCAGCATCAATATCAATCATCAAACGCTTTAAAACTACCAAGACAAGTGAGAATAAAAACGTTGTTGTTTGATTGATCGTGGCGTAGCAACGCAAAAACATATTATACTTACATTTCATTTTCTACACAAGATATTCTGAAGAGTTGCTGCGACTGTCCAGGTGGCGATAGAAAGATAGGAGTTTGTTCACATCGAGCAGCTGCCATCTGGGTCTTATTTGAACATACTGGATGATAGCGATCGGATTGATGATTTTATTGAATCAACCGATGAAGATGAAGACTATCGATACTCACTTGCTTAGTAAAGAAAAAAACTAAAAGAACTTTCTTCGAACTATGATAGTACAAATATACTTCTCCTGTCATACTTGTTAGATAGATAAGACTTCCTAATTCAACGAGTTTCGACAAAAGAGTACAGATCAGAGGTCTTAATAATTAATTATCATATATCGATTTATGTACGTTGAGCAATATGTCGCACGTAATCAATCAAACGACAACGTTTTTATTCTCCCTTGTCTTGGTAGTTTTAAAGTGTTTGATGATTGATATTAATGCTGAACAAAATGGCTTTGGTTCTAAAGCAAATAGCGGAGAACGAAAAGACACAAGATTCACTATGAGACCTATGTGATCCTATTGGAGATGGTATGTCCTAGGCATTATTTAGAAGACAGGTTTTTTGCAAGACCTTGTCTTGGTAGTTTTGAAGCCTTTGATAATTGATATTGATACTGAAGAAATGGCTCCGGTTCCGAATCAAATAGTCCAGAACGAAGGGACAAATGATTTCGACATAACCTGTATATGAGTACTATTTTGTTGAGTATCGAAGTAGGGGAAAAGTTTAACTGATCAAGCTGAAATTTATAGGAGTGACTACTAACTATGGTGTCTACAATTGCTGAAAGTTTCACTCGGAACAATCTTTATTTTCACAGTGGGCCAAAATCCCAGGAAAACGTCCCCCGTCCTTTGTTTTGATATTTTATTGGCCATATTTTATGTAGAAAAACTAGAGGATGTAACACTGAAAATAATTTTATAAGGTTAGAGTTATATTTTTATAGTTTTCTATTGCTAGCTGAATGTATTGTATGCTGGAACAAAACTGTTCGAAATCTTATCGTAATTATTCCAATAACCTTTATTTTAAGGTGAGTAAGTTATTGAAAAAAAAACACTACAAAAGTTACACATATTTCCACGTGAAATTCACATCCGATCTGATCCGATAAAGTTCAATTCAAATTTCCATACAACTATGTTCGACAGTTATGTACGAATCTAATCATGTTCGAAACTTCAATAATACATAATTAAAGGATTTGTTTGCTCATGTTAGTTTGTAATACATTCATCAGATGTTATGCATACCTTGGGGTATGTAGTATGGGTGTGAATACGATTGACCAGAAGTCCCACATCCACACTCTGAACACAATCACTATCAATATTTCGAAATTTATCAAGCTGCATAATAGAGTGTTGATAAAAGTGATAATAATAATAATCGAACAGAAAATAAATTTCTCTCTCACTCTCCCTGTAATTTCTCTTTCATCCGCTAGTTATTTCCTCACCCACCGTCATAACGTCTATCTCCCTGATAATGTGTCTCTGATGCTCCAATAATGTCTTTCTCAGCTTCTTCCCTATTTCTCTCTTACACGTTATAACTTTCCTCTTGCCCCCTTTCCACACATAATTTCTCTCTCACCCTTTTATTTTTCCCACCTCAATCTCTTTGTAAACTTCATACCGAGGGTTTGCCAAGCCTCCAAATATTCAATTATTGAATAGTCGAATATAACTTTCAGGTTTGACATGTATAAATTCTATTGTCATCTACTGTCATCTTCCGATTATTATTTCTGGTTATATAGTCTCGAGTAACCACCAATACAATAGAGAATATATGGAGAAAAAATAACATCATATGTATGATTTGTATAAGCTGGTGAACATATGATGAAATCGATAAACAATTCAAAAACAATTACACCCGTTTTCTTTTATCCTTTTTAGAGGGTGTGGGTGGTGTGGGTGTGGTATGGGTATGGGTGTGATGAACAGATCAACACCCACACCCATACTCACCACACCCACACCCACACCCCACACTCATACCCACACCTTGAAACGAGAAACTGAAATATAGTGGCGAATTATTCATCTTCGAACATATCTGCAACATATAGTTGACTTCTCATCGTATGTACTTTATGTTACAGGCATGTTGTTCACATACCTTCACATCGCTTTAGCTGTTATTGTCCGCTTTATCTCTGTTCGTCTTTGGCATTCGCTTCTTGTCTCTGTTCTGTTTTCGTTCTTTGATTCTTTTTTTCTCTCATCGCGATACTCTCTATCTTGGGTCGGGTCATTCGAAATAAAACGGAACTAAAAGAACAAGCAAAAGGGACCTCTGATACTCTACCTAAACATCATGAACTTTGTAATTTTTCTTGCATTTAATCAGCATCGACTCTATACTACTCTCTTCAAAAAGCCAGACCACTCCGCCCTTTATATACTTTTCCTGACACTTTGCAACACAGATGAGCCATTAAAGTGTGACCAACGCATAAGTATTCTATTTTCTTGAGCTTTTGATTAGATGCGTAACACAAAAACGTGATTCCGAGCCTGCCTGATAATGAACTCTTACGCAAGATTCGAAACGATCGTCGTAAGAAGCTCGGAATTGTCTTGGAAACTCACATTCGCCATCAAGAATTTGAAGGTTCTTTGACTTTTTAGTTAAAATTTTGGACTCTTTCCTGAAAAAATATAACTTAATTAATGCCATTTGATGAGATTCTCAAGAATTGGAACGAAATCCAGATTGTGGTGGTCGTTATTATACTCACCCTCATGAAGCAAACAAGTCAAAACGACACCTAAAATACCGAAAAAAAGGCGTTAGAGGTCGCGATTTTTCGAAAATTTGTTCTCCTGCTAGGACCATAAATCCTTTCTGAAACTGGATCGAACTTACGACCGTGACCATAAACTTCCATTTTATCATGCCTTAGTTTTACGACTATTGGTCTTCCAGAAATACCAGAGATTTCGAGCAACAGGTATTGATGAGTCACAATTTACATAACAAAAAACTTTGAGCTCTTCTCATCCTTATCTTTCATGGCGCTCGTTTTTTCGTCATTTCAGCGCACGCGTGAAAGTATATACATTGCCACTTTCCTTCATTCTTCTTTTTCCTACCACGTTGATAAAATTCAAAATATGGCAACAACACACTTCGCTTCTTCTATCAGCTGGATGTGGAAAACGAATAAAAACGATCCATGGTACTTTCCAGAAAAAGAAGAGATGGAAGGAGATAAGTGGACTCCCTATTCTGACAGTGAAACAGCGAAGATCGAAGAAAAATTTCAAGAAAAGGCAACAGAGGCCATTTTTGACGATTATCGTATAGACTTTAAACATTTTGTTCATGTATCGAATTGGAATGGGAAAAAAGAGCGTCTAGTCAAACGAATTACACGTCAGACAAGACTACACACAAATCAAACAGGACCACAAACAAATGAACGGCTTTCACCGACTCCTCTTTTGCCAGTAAAATCTTTTGGACATTGGGGTAAAGAGGGTCTGAATTGCTTCCTACTTGATGTTTTAGAACATTTCAATCTTCATTCCTCGCCATTAAAGGATGCATCCATCCGTCGATGGATAGTCGAAAAAGCAGCTGAAGGTCTCATAATCGAAGGAAAGGAAAAGGGCGAGGAAATGGCTCAAGAATTAATCAACATTAAAGATGGAACACTTGAACAAGTGACAGAAAAATGTGCTTATCTCTATACGAAAGAAAGTTTTCTCTATCAAAAGCTGAACGAATTGATGCGATTCGATGGTGATAGAGAAAAATCCAAGATATTATGGGCAAAAGTAAACACACTTGGTCCTTTCGCTCTTCTTCTCAGTGAAATTCCAGAACACGGAAGTAAAAATAAAATGACTGTATATCGCTCTGTAAATCTAAGCGAAGATATGATTGATCAATATCGAGAATCGGAAGGGAGTATGGACTACACATTTCCTGCATTCACTTCAACGAGTCGTAATGAAGACATCGCAATTTTTTATGGTGGCAATGTACTACTGAAAATTGATATCATACCCTGGTACGATGCTACGGATGTATCCTCTTATTCGAACTTCGCTGAGGAGGAAGAAATGCTATTAAATGCTTACTTCTCTTTTCGTATTCAATCCTGCACTTTTGACATAGTTACAGAAAAATGGACCATCCATCTCCAATCATTTAATGTGGACAATGAACTTTCATTTCCTTAAGGGTGTCATAATCCGCTGATACCTGTAATTCGTTTTACTTGGAGTAAACTTTTTGAAGTCTACTTACACCAGAAAGTTCGGCCGTTCTCCTTGACTTAGAAAGGCGAACCTGAATTAGGTAAAATTGTCATGTTTTCTTTCTTTTGGCGGCAAAATGTTCATACAGTAACTGTAGTAGTATATCTCTGCGAATACGAGCCGATCGAACTTGTTTTTCTTTCCAGTTAGCAGAAAGGAATCGTCAGGCTTTAAATTTTAGGGAAATTTAAGTTTTCTTGTATGTTTTGTAGACTTATCAAGAAATACTAAGAAGCTCACCAACTGGAGTCAAAAATCACATAGTTAGTTAATAAAAACCCTAGGAGATTTCAGAGGGTAGGACAAGCTACGATGACCGGCTTTGTCCTTGCTTTATTCTGAGTGTTATCAGTCTTTCTCGACAGAAGTGTGTTCGCTTTCGACTAGAAATGAAGAAGATGAAAATGAGGAGCAGTTTCAAAGAGAAGTCATCATATTGGAATTGAATTGATTCGATGATTCATTAGATGAGGTGGACGGACGACCGATGTTTCTACACTAATCAAGTCCATAAGCATGACCGTATCGCCGTTCTGGATTACAGGGTGGGTGTGGGTGTGGGTGTGCGTGGATGTTGGTGTACATTAATAGAAGACGCATATCCGGATACGCGCACCCAGACATCTTCTCATCTTTCAGTATACTTCTTTCACTCAAACAGATACGCGGTAGTACGGTCTTGGTTTTAAATATGATTATAACTTTAAGAACCGAAATAACTCAAAGTCAGAGATGGATTAGAATTATATGCAAATTATAAGAGTAAGATTCAAGCTTTCATAAGAGAGTTACATCATTTTGGTCATACATCATTGGGAAGAGTGTAAACTTAGTTATCACTACAGTACTATGGATAACTCAAAATTTCAAAGTAGGGGAAAATAATTCAAATGAGAAAAAAGATATTGTTTCGTGTTCCAAGTAAAACTAAGAAGCTCACGTTTTTATACCAAAGTGTAATTACATAACTATTTGCCTCAAAGTACAAATATCAGTACCAACTGCTTTTTTCAAAATACACGTGCAAGTACCGAGTGCTCTGTTCAACGCACAAATATAAGTATAAAGTGGCAAGTAATTTTCTCAAAGCATAAGGACGAAGTATACCTGCAAAGTACTTGTACTTATACGTTTGCTCGAAAAACTACACAAGGTACAAGCACAAATACTTTCATGTGAGCTCTAGCGCACACCACACCCATACCCACATTCACTTTCTTCTTCGCTCGTTTTGTCGTGGATAAGGTAATGCGCCCATTCGCATTACATAACAATCAAAACGAATCAATCAAACCTTGCTTCCTTCACATACTTTCTCTTGATTCTTTTTCGCTGAATAAATGATGTATTTACACAAGATATATTTGAGTGCTTGCTTTCATATGTTCAAATAAATCCTGATAAGATATCAACAGATTGCGTACTTTATTCAGTGACATTAGTCGGCTTTTTCCAACTTTCAATAAAACAGAACCCAACTCATAGCAAGCTCAAGTGATTCTAGGCCAATACATGCTAATAACTATATCGTGTCGTTGTCAATGTTATTGTTAAAGCAAAATTTTCGACACGCCAGTGTGAACGGCAACAGACAGCAGTCTCAATGGAAACTCTCGCAAAGAAATAGGATACTAGAACACTTAACAGATGAAAACTCACAAGATTTCCAATAGAGAAGGGTGTGCGTGTTACCTCGGGTGTGGGTATCACCCTTGAATGTGGGTGTCGGTGAGAGTACTGGTATGCGGTGTGGGTAGGGGTGTGGATGTGTGTGTCACTATAGGTGTGGCTGTGGCTGTGCCAGTGTGGGTGTGGAGTTTGGTTGTTAGTATGGGCTATTGTAGGTCTGAGCACGAGTGGCGTGAACAATACTGCCATGGGTGGCAACGGCCACACATCGACATCCACAACAACATAAACACTCACATACACATCCACATATACCCCACACTCATATCCACCCACTCCCACACGTACACAAACACACACCGACACCCACACTCGTACTCCCCTCCTCACCTCCCTCACACACAAACACACACCGACACCCACACTCATAGCCCCCTCCCTTATAAACAAACACACACACACACCGGCACCCACACTCACACTCACACCCTCTAATATTTTGTGATAAAGCAGTGTTAAAAGGTGCACGTGAACAAGGTTTTGTAGTCGAAAAAAGTAAGCAAGAAGGAAAAGAACAACAATTAAGTGAAGAAAAAAGTAAAGAAAAAAAAGTAAGACATTGATGTTCAATCACTATTATGTTAATATTATATTTATCTTTTATTTTATTTAGAATCCTGATGCAAAAATTTCATTACAACCAGCTATTACTGAAACTGTTGTCGATGGAGCTGCAACCATAGCTAAGGATGATTCTTAATTATCTCACCGATTTTTGAACTTTTATTTTATTTTACTCTTTGTTATTTTTTTTTTTGTTATGCACTGAGAGTCATGTTATGTTTGTGCATTTATTATTCTCCATTTTTTTTTTGTTATATCAACGCTGATTTGGGACAGTAAGGATAAAAGAATGTGCTTTGTTCAAGTATTTTTTTTTTGCAATCAAACTTTGAATATCGAATATATTGATATAGAAAGTATCATAATTAAATTTTTCTTTTACTTTTCCATGATTGATCAGTGTAATCAGAGAGCAAAACAGGAATGGTTAGTGCTGTTAAGACGATCAGATTGGTAGAATAATATGAAAAGAAAATTTACTTTCAAGAATATTCCAGATATTTTGACGATCATCGCTTTTTTGTTTTCACTGGTTTAGTTACTTCATAGTAAATAATTATCTTGAAAAGATCGGCCTTATTCTTGTTTTCAGGGATTATATAGCATACAAACTAATTATTTAGACTGTTGATATTTCTATGCATAATCTACGACCATAAATAAATGATTTTGATCATGGTTACATGTGAATATATAGTAATGTATAACAGAGTGAGAGAAGTTTACTAGCAGAGAGTAGTCTTTACCACTTCATGAAAATTTATTATACTGTTGCTTTCTGAAGTAGAAGCACATCATGGCATCATTAGACATCTTATCAACATAGGATCATTTGACAAAAAAAAAAGTAAGAAAATATACATTGACTTAAATTATATTAGAAGTATATTTTTCTGCATGTTAAAATCGATTAGATTTGTTTTAGACAAAATATGAGAAGAAAAAAGAAAAATACATACACATTGATATAACACTTGTGCATCTTCTTCATAAATATTTTTTATTACCTTGCATAACTTTTTATTTCTTTATTAATTATTATTGTACGTAGAGTCATGAAAAAAAAACACCGAAACCAAATGCTCTTTACATAACAACATTAGTAATAAAACTACAAAACAACAATTTTTTTTGTAATATGTGGAAAAAAAATTTATATAAATAATAAAAAAAGAGAAAATATAAATTGTTCGATCACTATCTCTTGTTAATAATACAAATGTCCTTTGAAATGACTAACATTTATTATTTATAAAAAAATATTCAGGTTAGTAAATCATCAAAATGTAATATCTATTACACCTGTAGATCAGAATCAATGCATTTTTTAGGTGTAGATCCCTCTAGACATGAATGACGGTTCTTAAAAAGGAATATGAACAAGACAATGACAATGCATCGAATAATAGTTTTTCTTATAGACCTGTCACATCATTTGCTCTTTAGTAAAAATGTATGACATGCATTTAGGAAAAGAAGAAATGTACAGTTTCAGTTTATTAACTATTGACCTCGTCGACTCATGAGAGAACCTCTTCAGTTGCCACCTTTCAGTTTCAATGATTTTTTGCTTATAGATACTATATAGTGTTCCAATAAAAACTCTAAAAGGATTTGGGTTCATAGAAGCTTCATATTTCGAAGAGACTTTGTTCAAAACTTCTGCATTTTTTTCAATGAAATTTAGTCTAGTTAAGTTCTCTATATTGGAGTTAGACTTTCAACACTAGATAAGTTTTCTTTGTAAGCAAGTATTCTTAATAAGAAAAAAAAGCATCTTTTGATATGATATTCTAGAAATTCGTGAATCCCTATAGGGAAATACTTGTTATTGATATTATGCCAAATGTGAGATATTTTTCATATCTATTGTAGATAGTAAATAACCATTGGTATATATAAACAAAATAGATGATAATAAATTAATCAAGATGACATGTTAATCATATCGAATTGCCAGTCTTATACAACATATAATACTTTTTTTGTTGCTAGAGTAATCTTTTGATTATAAATATATTGACTTTGTCAATCGAGATTTTGAATATGAGTTCAGGTGAGTTTATTTATAAATTAATAATTATTTCGAATATTAATATAATAATTCTAGATAAAATACTATCAATAAACAAACAAATTTATTTAACTAATCATGAAATGTCTTCTTATTCTCCATTAATATCAGTTAATATTCATAAATCAAAAAGAATTTATATTCAAAAAATTCGTTCGTTTAGTTTATTTTTATGTACATGTTCATTAATAATAAATTGGTTACGTTTAGGATTTCTATATTTCTTTCCCAAAATTTATCCAAATTTAATTCAATCATCATTAAATTTATGTATAATAGAAAGTTTTATTTTTCATATTTTAACATTTTTTCATTTACATTTAATAATATATTTACGTCTTTATTGGCTTTATTATTTTATATTTGAAAAATATCAACAAAAAATAATATATCATCAAATTTTATTTATTCTTTTATTTATTTTTATTTGTTTATGTTTATTTACATTACCAAGTATAAGTAATGAATGGGCATCAATTATCTATGATGAAATTTTACAAATTTGTATTGTTAATTATCTATTTAATTATTCATATACATTTTTTCTATTAACATTTACTTGTTTAATACCATTTATTTTAATAATTATATCTCATAAATTACAAATGAAAGTTATTGATAATCGAATATCTAAATATATTTCAATAGATGAAAAATTAAATCTTTCTTATCAAAAATATCGATTTCAATATTCTTCTTATATTATTCTTATTTGGTCTTTTATTAATATTCTACTTTTAATATTTCTACATATACCAATTAAACATATTCAAATTAGAACTATTTTATATTATACACAAATATTTTCATTTCTATTAGATCCAATTATATATATATTGATTTTTCATTCATTATCTTTAATTACTTTATTAAAACCAGTAAATAGAATTTATTTCATTTAAAAAAAAAAATCAAAATTTTGTTTGTTCATTGTAATTTGCTTTTTTTTTGAAGGGAGAAGAATAAATAAATTTTCTTAATTTAATAAATATATGGTATCATTCGAAATTTTGCAACTTGACAATATTGACCCCATATTTTTTCTCCATATTTTGTTCGACAACGTTGATCATCACGAGAAGCACGTTGTGATAAAAGAATAAGAAGTGATATAGGTAATATATAAGGTACAAATGATATTGTACCAGAACATAATGCGATTGATAAATAAAGAAGTATTTCACCTGTATAATTAACATGTCGACCAATACCCCAAAAGCCTGATAAAATAAGTCGTCCTTCAAGAAGTTTAACTTGTTTTCCCCAAATTTTAACTTTTGAACCATATTTTCTTACATCAAATTTTTGCCAATTTGATACACGAAATATATAATGACCAATAAAATGAAGAAATATTGTTATAATTAACCATGTTATTGATAATGGTTTATGAATATTATCAGCAACAAACCAACCAGCTATACTATATAAAAATGGTACATAAATAAGATCACCCCAAACAAGCATAAAACCAAAATGATCTTCAATTATATCAAATGTCCATAACATAAAATCTTCACGTATATAATGTGTTAATAAATAAAGATACCAAAAAATTTGATATAAAATCATTCCAATTGTTAATGTACCATATAAAGATATTTGAGCTTCAGCTAAACTTAAATTAACTAATGCTAATCCTATAAGACTTGGTTGATAGAAAAAAACTTTCAAATCAACATCAAATAACATTGGATCTTTTTCACGTCCATGCCAATAATCAATAGGACGATTAGAATTTGGAGCATTTTGAATAGCTTCTTCTCTTTGAAATAAATATAAACTAAATAAAATTGTAAAGATATTTATTACTATAAAAAATGATATAAAATTTTTTATTATAAATAACAATGAAAGATGTTCTGTATAATAACCAATAGGAATTAAAATTGTTAGTAAAATAAATATATAAAAACCAGTTAATTTATATGTTTTCTTTGGACTTCTAGCTTCAATACTTGGTAAACATTTTGATGCAAGAAACATGCCGAAAAAATAAATAAGAAAATAACCACCCGCTTTAATAATACCATCGATTGATGGTGATTCAACATAATTCCATACTGATTCTGATTTTATAGTCATATTTATTCTTTCTTGTTCTCTCTCACTCTCTTACACACTTCTTTTTTTTGATTATTGCCTATCTACAAACAAAGACAAACGACAATCAATGTACAATTCAACAAACAAATAAAAAGAAAGAAAAAAAATCGATTTATTATTAAATTTAATTTTTTATTTTATTAGTTGATTTCGTACTAACAGCACTACTTCGTCGTCGATGAAAAACTTTTTGTGATGATCCTGTTGGACGTGATGATAATGGACGATGATTACTACAATCATGTCCATCAGCACCACCCATACCATATAAACGTTCAAATAATTCACATGATAATTCATTACTTAATGGTGGATGAACACTTTTTCTATATGATGGTGATTTTAATACTTGTAATTGATTAAACATTTTTGAAACATCTTCACGCCATGTTGATATGGATGATGAATTAAAAACTGCACTTTGACTTGTTAATGATGATGGAGCAAAATCAGGACGATTTTTAGCTTGATTAGCAAGTGATGCATCAAGACATTCTTTACGTTTAAGTGCTATAATACGTGATTCAATTGGATCAATAAATTTTGCTGGTGGTGAAAGAATATTTTCATTATTAAAACTTATTGTACTTTGGCGACGTTTACGTAGAATTGATGAACTTAATATAAAAAATGGTACAGATGCAATTGATTCAGCATAAGATGATACTGTCGTAGAACGCATTCGGCTTGGATTTGATAAACGTCGTTCAACTAATGGTTCAATAGATATTTTTGATGGATTATCACGTTCTTGTAATGTCATTTCATTACGTAATAAATTTTGACAACGATCTAAATTTAATTGACATGCAACATCATATGCTGTTAAACCGGAACGATTTTTAACTGTTAAATCAATTGAATAACGTTTCATCGCATTAAGTACATAACGAACAATTTCAACATTACCAGTTGAACATGCATAATGTAAACATGTATTACCATGTATATCTGTTGAACGACTAAGATCGAAATCAAGTGAATCAAGATATCGTCGTACAAGAATTGATCGTTGAGTTATAATAGCATAATGTAATGCATTAAGTTTACGTTGATCATGATCTTCAATTTTAGCACCATATTCAAGTAATGTCATTGCTATATTTTGTGCCCAACAATCATTATCGATGAAACAACAATAAATAAGGCCAGTTCGACCTTCGCTATCGCGTTCCCTTGCATTACCTGTACCTGATTCAAGAAAATAACGAATTAAAGAAAAATAGCCTCGTTCAAGGCAATAAAGAAGAGAACGTTGAACGAGACCACGTTCTAATTTAATCATATTAATTGATGGAGCTTCACTAAATGGTAGACGTGAACGAGTTGAAGGCATTTTTGATGAGGGTACAGGTGGATGAATTTCACTCATCATAAAAAAAAAAACTTATATGGAAGTATGTAACCGTACTGATGTTTCTCACCTCCTGTTTCACTTGAATCGTCTATTTTCACTATGAAACAAAAGAAAAAAGAAAAGGCAGAGAGAAAGAAAACATGACAGACGATAAGTGTTTGTTCCATTATGCATTGATTGTTGTTTTGGACAAATAATAGATGAAAACAAAAAGGTGAAAATGAAATAAAATATCAGAGTAATCGAATTAGTAAAATAACGATAATCATATATGACTCCTTTTTTTTTTTTCTTTTTTATGTTTTTAGTTTATTTTCTTCCTTTTCATTATATTTTTTTTTTCTAGGAATAGAAAAGAAAAAGAAGTTTGTTTTTCATTATGAAATCAAAAAACAAAAAACAACAAAAATGATAGTACGTAAACGGTTGTTATATATGGATGGATATTTTAATTTTTGTTAACTAATGTTGTTTTTTGTTTTACTTTTCTTTCTTATTATTTTATTTTTGTTTTTTTTTAAAAGTTCAATTTGTGTGGTAAAACACCATTCCAAAGTTGAAAACGACTCTTAAGATATCGACGAAGAAGTCGTGAGTCGGCATTAGCTTTAATAGCACCAAGAACGGCGGCATCGGTATTACGTTGTGCTTCACGACGTTCATTGCTAAGTTGTGGTTTCTACACAAGAAAAATAAATTGGTTTTTTTTTATCAAAAAAAAAAAAAGTGTTTCAGTTGTTGTTATTGTTATTTCAAGTTAAGATCTTTTTTAAAGATTTATGGAAAGCTTAAGGGCAAATTAATTGTTCTACTTTTTTTTTCTTTTATTCAATTCAAAAAAAGAAAAACAGTTGTTTTTATACGAAAAACTTTTAATATATTTTCTATTATAATTCAATTTAAATGATCGAATAGAAAATATTGAATCTTTAATCAATATATTTTAGTCTTACGAAAGAAGTTCTCTAACTGATAAATCGTAGTATTGCTGCGGAGATACTACACTTTTAAGATACTTTTTTAGATGAATTCTATGATCCAGAAAAATTAATTTTCAATGTTAAAACTTTGCATAGAGATAGGCATTAACAAGAAATAGTTTCAGATCTTTTGATTTACTTCTATCCTAGAAATAAGAATATCAAATCTACCGGTTTATATGAAACTATTCTTACGAAGACCTGTCTTTATGCAAAATTTCAAATCGAAAATTATTTTTTTCTGAACCATCACATGCATTTTAAAAAAATGCCATAATAGTCCAGTATCTCCGAAGCAATAAATTAAGAACACAAACTCTTTACTCATTTGAGTCTATCTAATGTACATAGTCTCAATGCAAAAGCGATTGAACAATTGAAGAACTTCTCTCGTATGAGTAAAAGAATTCCACTAATATTAATTGTTGCCAATAAAACTCTGATTATAATCAATTTCTTATTCAGACGCACAGAATCTACTTGTGGACATCAACAGGCTTTCGAGGAAATCTGCGTTTTTATCCAGATTTTTTCTTCCAGAGGGACGTCGTCCTCGCGCTGAATAAAACACTACTAAAATGCTTTAAGTTTAAGGAAATTTTTTCTCTTGTAGTAATATAAGTCTTAGCATCTATAATTTATTTAACTGTACAATGCAGCTAGTTGGCTTCTATGTTAAGTAAATCGGCTTTTCCTTTATTGTGATAGCACAGAAAATTCTTTTTTTTTCTTGAAGAAGTTATTTCTGCTAAGAAGACAAATATTTTAATGTTTCATAGTGTAAATTCACTGATTTGAAAATTCTCATATCTACTGAGAAACTTAGAAGATATTCTTATTCGAAATATCAAACTTATACAAAATAACATTATTTTACCTCTTTTTTCGAGTCAAAAATATCTTTTTCAGCGTTTTTCTTAGGCGTACGAACACGTTTAAAAAATTTATCATCTAAATTATCAAATTTAGCTGATGATAAATCAAGTTTTGTGCTGGTTGCAATAACATAAATTTGATTTACACGACGTAGTGGTACGCCATTTAATTTATGTGGACCTAAATTAATTATAAAACAAAATATTCATTATAAAAACTTAATAATTATATATTTACCAGTAACTAATAAAAGTCCAGATGATAAATGTTTAACAACAACAACACGCTATAGAAAAAAAAACAAAAATTTAAATTATTTAAAAATAAACTTTAAATTTGAATTTCTTACTTTTCCGGCATGTTTACCAGCAACAAGAATAACAACAGTACCGGGTGTAAGTGTTGATCGAAAACGACGTGGATGATCACCAAATCGTTTACGTTTAACACTAAATTTCTTTGGTCGTTCTTCCGTTGGATAATAACGAGGCTTTAGAAAAAACACAAAATATATATATTTATAAAAAAAAAAAAAAACAGAAAAAGAAATTAAAATCAACATACAAATCGTTTTGCTCGTACAAGACGTTCTTTACCATTACGTTCACCACCAATAGGTTTCTTTTTAAGTGTTGGTGTACGTCGTTTTTTCTTTTGAATACTACCAGCTGTTTTCTTTGTTTTATCACCTTGTAATTTAGCTTGATCAGCTTTCCATTTACTTATACGATATAATGCACGTCGTTGGAACATACGACCACGTGAAAAACGCATGAGACCATTGTTATTTAATAAACGATTTGAATGTGAATTAATGACCTTTTTACCACTTGCAGTTGTTTTAGGTTTTTTAACGTTTGAACCAGCACCACGTTTATTAACTAAAGTTTGTTGTTGTGGTTGTTTAGTTGTTGTAGTTGTTGTTTTTTGAACAACTGTTGTTGTCGTTTTTGTTGTAGTCTTAGCCGATGGCGTTGACATGATCGAATTTTTATTTTACTCTAAAATAAAAGTAAGTTGAAATTCTTACAGATTTTTAATATTCTCAACAAACGAAAAGAAGAAAAAAAAAACAACTGAATAGAAATTTGATGATGTTTTGTAAACTAAGGTAAAATTATCCTCCAATCAAATATGAGATGCTTTCGAACATTTCTATCATAAAAAATGATAATATATAGAATTAATTTTAGAAAATTTTTAATTAAAATTTATTATTAAATTGCTTATTTTTATTTAAAGATTATTTACTTTATATAATATTTAATTTGATTGGTAGTTTATTTTTTTGTTAAATGAATCATCATTTATTATGAATCATTTATTATTATATGTTATTTCTTTCGTTCTTTTTCTTTCCTTTCTATTGTTGGCTTACTTATAAATCTTTATTAATTAAGAAAATCAATATTCTTAATTAATGACAAAATGATTGAAATAATATGTCACATTTTCCAAAAAAAGATCATAATTAATACTGTTTTCTTAGAAAACATAATAATGTTGCCCTATATTTTATTCTATGTCTATGACAAGCAGATGAGTGATACTCTTGAGTTAGATGTTTGTTACCGTGGTACCCATAGGTTTAGAGAGAGAGAGAGAGAATGCATTGTGCGCAATTTCATCATCACTTTTCACATGTGTTCTCTCATATTTAATTTCCTTGGCCCAGAAAAACATTGTTTCTGATAAATAAGCAAAAATTCTTCTTATCTAAACTTCCTAAGATTTATTATTGGTTATTTCTCAACAGATGTATTGCTTATGACGAAGAAGTTCATGTTGTCTGTTTACATACGTTATAATCTAATGATTTTTTGGTCAAAATAAGCAAATACTTTGATTAGCTACATATTACAAAATATTTTATATGATTGTCAAAAACAAATTTATCAAGAAAATTTATCTATGAATGTTGATTGTGATTTGTACAATTCATGAGATTTATCTCATCGGTCCGGATGGCCTTGTTATTGAAGATATAAACAACAGACAGATTGTGCGCGTCCAACTCATACTCCGAGGCCATTTATGACGTCAGCAACAGTAGTGGGAGTAGAACTTGTAAAAAAGTCTCTATCTCCCTCTCTTTTCCTTTCGATAATACCATCGTCGTCCAATAATCATTACGGATATATGTGCAGGATCAACATGATATGTCGATTAAAGTAAGACTAAGACAAGCATAATTCTTATATGATTCTATCGGAAAAAGCACAGCTTGATATACAATGATGCTAGTATGTGTGTGCGTGCGTGTGCGTGTATATTCTGCATATGTTAAGACACGAGTCTAAGAGAAAGAGGTGATCATAGTAGGACGGTAGCAAAACGACTTGTTGTCCATAATTGCTATACGCACATACAAGCACTATTGTGCCATTTGTTCTCTTTCCATTTTTTTAAGCAGGGAGGAGAGTCAACCGGGCTCTCTGATAACGTAAATACAAGCAGTAACAGCAGCCGTTAGAAGACAAAGACAACTTGCCGGGTTATATGCATAGAAAAAGAGAGAGGAAGAGAGAGAGAGAACGCAATTTCTTCTCTTTCCTTTCAACTTGTTACTGGCCTTCCTTCCTTGTATAGATCTTTGTTGTGCGCACACTGTACGACGCTTCTTGTTTCAGGATGTTAGGATGTAATATAGAAATGTGAGAAAAAGAGCATAAGAATCATATATTTTACTTCATTTTTTCTTTTTATTTCAAATCTTGTATTTATTTGTTTCAAGATTTTTTTAATTAATATCAAAATATCTATCTGTTATTAATACAATTCAACAACAATAATAACAGACAAAAACAAAAAATGGTACTTAAATTACCACCACTTGAATTTACTGAAGCAGTTGCAGATTCACCTGAATTTCGTGAAAAATTACGTCAACATGAAAATGAACTTGAAAATACATCAAATGCAATAAAATCATTAATTAAAAAATTAAATGAAGTTCTAGTAGCGAATAAAAGTATGTTCTTTTTTTTTTTTTGTTTTTAAATTAAACAATAGAATATATTTCCGTTTATAGCTCTATCAAAAGCATCACGAGGTGTTGCAGAAACATTAAAAAGTTTTAAATTTTACGTTGTTGGAACTAAACAAACAGATGAAGAACGAGATATAGGTTTGTTATTATAATAAAAGTTATTGTTAAAA